CCTCACCGTCCCCTCCCTCCCCCTTCCCCGCCCCGCCGCCACCCGAGGCGCTCACCGGCGCGGCTGCCGGTGAAGGTGGCGGCGAGGCTCTGCTGCTCTGCGCTGCAGGGGGCGTTGGATCTTAGGGTGGCGGCCCTGATTGGCGAAGGCGGCGTCGATCTCGTCCGGCGGATGGCGCCGCCGGTGCTGGCCGTCCCCACTGGCCGTGTGGGCGGCGGTGGGGCGGTGGAGGCTCGTCGCTGCTGCGGGATGTGCCGCTGGCCTCGGCTGGCTGCTTCCCGGTCTCCTCTCCTCTGTTGTGGTCCTCCCTCGTCCGATCTGGGCGCTGCTCCTCCGGGCCGCCAGATCTGGCACATGAGGGTGGGTGGTGGCCATCCTAGAACGGGGGAAACCCCTGGTCGACCTCCCGTCGACCCCGACGATGGCGGCGCTCCGGTGTCGATCTCCATCCTGAGGGCGTGTCGGCCTTCTTCGTCACCTCCTTTCTCCTCTACCACGATCCCGGGCGAAAGCCTTGGCCTTGCTGGCCGAACGGCGGTGGCGCTGTGGCGTCTCGGTCCTCCTTGGAGGCGTCGTTCAAGGGAGGGCGAGGTTGTGGTCTCGCGGCAAGGTGCTTGGTGGCGGCGGCGTTGCTCTGCTCTCCGGGATGGCGGCTTTGGTGGTGACGAGGTGCCCCCCTGCAATCCTTCAACGGCTCTTCATCTTGTTCGGCTCTGGGCAACCGGCCGGTGGACGGCGTCTGCGTGTTGTGGCACGGTTCAGATGTAGGGGCGATTGGATCTCCCCTCCGACAAGGCTCGGGGCGGCCAGATCTGGAGCCATGCTTTTCTCCACGCAGCCTGGGTCCTCTCGGCCTCCACTTGTGTAGTCTACTTATTGCAGTTGCTCCGCTGTTCTAGCTTGCGTAGAGTTCTCCGGCAACTTGATCCTGTTTTCGCTGTGGTGGTGCCCTGCTCGCCATTGCTCCGCTTAGCTCTGTAATGTGCGTGCACGCCGCCTTTTATCTTTCAGTTTTTCTTCAAGCTTTCGCCTTTGTATCAGCACTGTTGTATCCTAGCCGGTTGATGGCTTCATTAATTTGAAGTCGGGCCTTGCGCCTTTTCTCTAAAAAAAGAAATTCCCCCTTCCAAGTGACTTTATCAGAATATCTGCGAACTAATCGTTTGTGTTGGGTACTCAATCTCCACCTTCCCTTTTCCCACACATTCTTTGATGTAATGGAACTTCGTATCTTCTTTTTTGTAGGAAAACTTCTAATTTATTCATCGTATCTATGTTCTTATCAACCTTGAGCTTCACTTTCCTCGGTTGTTCACTCATCAAGGTTGCATGACAAACCCCTTGACATGCCACCACCACTGTTGCAATGTGTACTTAGCTTCACGAGATGAAAGTGCAACTATCTTTTGCTTCTGCAACAACCAAGGGACCAATTTTTCTCCAAAATAATATGCAACGCCAAGTGGGCTTTTTCTGTCATCCAGTTCTCCTGCCATATTACTGTCAGTATATGTGGTCTTTCCTCTTTCTTTCATGTGTATTTGCAGCCATACTTTAGAGTCCACTTCACATACCTCAAATTTTGCTTCGCAGCAGTCAATGGTGGTCTTTCATTTTCCTTTCTTGTGTGTTTACACCTACAAAGACAACAAAATAAAGGGAAACTAATAAGAACTATAAGTTGTGTAATGAATTAGCTAAAGTGAGTAAAGAACCAAAGCTATGCATTGTGAACATGAAAAATTGGTAGATGGATATGATGCGATGGATTTTTCTATTAGAATAGACACGGAAAAGTGATGCAAAAACCCACTCATCAAACATCATGAATCAATACTTGCATAACCTACAATACTACCATTTGCTCATGGATCTAAGTTAAAACGAGTAGGGAGTGATGTGACTTATACCAATGGAGGGCGGTAAAAGTGGAGTTTGAGAAACAACGGAACATAATGACATGAGAAAAATGGTGGGAAATAAAAGATATAAAATAGAAAGGAGAAAGAAAGAAAAGAAAAGAAAAGAAATAATATACAATAAACAAAAGATACAAGTTCAAAATAGACCTTTGTCGAGTCCCATAGTTGTCAAAGATGAACACACTAGCAGCAAAACTTCTTTGCCGAGTACCCAACTCAACACACATTGCAACAACGTCAACGTTCTGTCAACTGTGGCGACAAGGGACACGTGTCATGCACTTTGCCTAGAGCACTTGTGTTTGCCGAGTTCTGTCCGATGTGTACTTGGCAAAATGATATCTTGGTTGAGTGCTATCTCTCTGCTGAGTTTTTTATTGACACTCGACTTTCTATTGCTTTGCTAAGGGTGTGTTTGGTTTCGAGCCAAAGCTGGCCTTGCCAAAATATTAGCATGCCCATGAGTTTTGGCTGCTGTTTGGTTGGAGACCAAATATTTGGATTGCCAAACCCAACCGGCGTTTGCCCATGCAATTCTTGCCAACACGTGGGCGAGCCGAGCGCAATGAATTCGTGCGCCAAAATATTGGTTGTCAGCCTGCTAGCATTCCCCCGTGTTATGCTTGGGTGTTATGTGAGCTGGCAAATTGATTAGCTAGCTTGTATGCTTATGCCTCCACGGATCGTATTTATCCAGCTGGCTAGTACGTGTGTGTGTTTCACACGGCCAACACGTGTGCATGCTGCTTCAATGAACCTTTGTTTACTCTTTTTTTTCTCTAAATGTTTGGTCATCAAGATTTATTTTGCTCCTTATATATAAAAGAAATCAAGTTAGGACGTCAGATGCTCATTTGCTAAAGAAGAAAAAAGACCTCAAATATTGATATGTGGTATGTTAATTGGCTACAAACTAAACTGAGACCCAACCATTTTGCCAAAAAACCGGTAGGTGCTACGGATGCAATCCAAACAACACTACCACACCAAAATTTTGGTCATGCCCTTGCTTTGGCTATGCCAAAATTTTGGCAGGGCAATTTGGGGCACAAACCAAACAACCCCTAAGTGCCCGATAAAATCAACTCGACAAACACTACGACACTCTGAAAATGCTATGAATTCTAGTAGTGTATATACGTGTCTTGCTTGTGATGCATGCGATGTGATGACAAGTTGACAACCATAATACTTGAGTAGAACCATCTCTGCTCTGCATGATTTTCTTTCTAGCCACCTAATAGTTAACCTGATACAAAATCTCATGGTTGTTGTTACTACTCCTCCTCCTCTACACCAGAAAAGGCTCTCACCCTGCTTTAAGTTAAAAAGCAAGACCAACATACAACAATAAAATACAACACGCCATCAGCACACACGCATCCAATCTAAGATACAGAGTTGCTATGGAGTAGCCACAATACCCCATACAAGTCCAAGTACACAACATATAAACACTAGGCCTCACTAAGAAGTCGAACTAGTTCTCAATCGCGCGCAAGCCACGACGAAGAGACAAAGCAGCATGCCTAACGAACCTAGAGCTCCTAGGTAGTGCCTTCATGAAGGACACAAAACCTGAGCCCTGCCACCACCCAATCCAAAGGATCAAGATTTTCATCTAGAGCAACCACGAAGGGTACTTCAAAAAGGTGACGATGTGCATGGATGACGCTTCTGTCTGTCTGACCAAAGGCATGAACGGTTTTCACCCTGGTAAGCTCGCTCCACCTCCGACACTGATCGTCAAGCAACAGTCACGATGACGCCCAGGCGAGCATGGTAACTAACCAACTTCTAAGCCTTGCGCTCAGCCCATGAGCACCACCGCTTCCACCATCAGGGTTACTGCCCTAGAGTCCAGACATCCAAGATTCCATCCATGGCTTCAGGCCATGACTGACCGACAGGGCCCAACCATCAACGAATCCACCAACAATCCTCTTGCCCAGCTTGGTCTTGGACTAGGAGTCACTAGGTTAGGGAAGAAGTGAA